TGAGATGCATAGAGAGAACTACATACGAGTGATAGAAAGTCAATAATGTGACCATTTAAGACATTTCGATAATTTATGAAAATAGGTTAGATGGGCACAATGGAGAGGGACTATTAAGTGAAAGAGCCTATTAAAAAGAGATTTAAAAAGGTTCACATCAAACGACATGAAGACAAGCTCAAGCTAATGAGCTAGGCGTTAGCCCTATGTTCGGAGATAATTGATATTGCTAATAACTATAACTAAACTAACATAATCTAATGTAACGAAATGCACAATAAAAGAGCTCGCAAGAATAATATAGATGGGTAAATTGTTTAAACAAAGAAATATCATAAAGGAGAGGAAACGCCTTGAAAACAAAAATCGAGTGGAACGAAACGAAACAAGTGAATTATTTTAAATTAATGCAAAATTGATCAAAATAAAGTTATTAATGCAAATGTTGAATCAATACGAAACCGTAAAAAAAAACAATAGCAACAACAACAAAATCAATAAAAGATTATCAAATAAAATTAAAGATCATAATTTCCATAAAGCGTTGCTATAAAAATCCTATAAGAAATGAAGAAGAAGACAAACTGCGGGCCATAGCGAATGGAGCTGGACTTGGTTAGATCATGGAATGGTCTGTGTCACAGCGCAAGTCTAAATAGAAGCCGAAGAGGAAGCAGCAGAGAAGAGGAAGAAAAGCAGCACAGAAGCCGCACAAACAGAATTTCATAACTTGATTTTTTTTCGGAAGTGCCGCTGGCTACGTGCCGACGCCAATTTCCACGAAGTTCGAGAAGGAACACACACACACACGCGCCGATGTGGAGCGCGGGCAACCCAAATTGGAGCTGGCTGAGAGCAGGAGCGGGCAATGGTCGAGAGCAGGGGCAGGGGGAGTGGCTTACCTCCACACAAGTTGCTGTTGTTGTTGCTGTTGTTGTTGCTGTTGTTGTTGTGATCTGTTGTTGTGCTGCTCAGCATCGACATCTCTGTAGTAGCTGTAGACAGCATACGATGAGGAGGAGGAGGAGGAGGTGGGGGCGCCGTTAGCATCGCTGGCTGCTGCAACTGTTGCTGCTGTCGTTGCTGTTGCTGGGGGCGGCGGTGTTGCCTGCTGCTGTTCGCTCAATTGTATCTCATCTGCCACCGATTGCATTAGCCCAGCGGCAGTGAGCGGCAGGTGTTGCAGCTGCTGCTGCTGCTGCTGCTGCTGCTCCTGCTTGGGCGGCTCATAGTAACGCGATGGGGATTGGCTGCCATAATGATGCTGAGGTAGATGTTGTGGCAAATGTTGCTGCAATTGCTGCTGCTGCTGCTGCTGCTGCTGCTGATGATGATGATGATGGAGTTGCTGCTGCTGCTGCTGCTGCTGCTGCTGTTGATGCTGCGCGTCTAGGCTGTAGCTGCTGCGTCTAACAGGTAGGGTTGGGTTGGTTTGGGTTAATCAAAAGACGAAACACGTAAAGGGAGAGCAGCATTGGAGCTGAGCTTTGGCGGCGTTCAGGTGCGTGCAGTTAGCCAGTCGAGCGAGCCCCATTAGCATTTATTTACATAACACATTTGATTATATTGTTTTTTTTTCTTTCTTTTGGCCAGGTGTGCGAGTGTGCGTGTGTGTGTGTGTGCCTGCTGTAACTCTCTTGCGGCAGCTTTTAGCTTTTTTTTTCTCAATTTTTTTATAGACGAATTGATTTGTTTAGCGCTATTAGCGCGATTAGATGAATGCTGTTAAAAATGCGAGCCAACAACAACAACAATGACTACAACAATGACTACAACAATAACAATTGAAAGCGGCGTCAACTCTCTTTCTTCAACACTTGAGCGACGGCCAAAGGAATCGGCAAGGAATCGCCGCAAGTGGTCCGCTAATTACTCAGTTCCCATGGCAAATGGAAGAATTTTAAGTGCAGGTATTGTGTTATAAATATATATATATATATGTGTTTTTTTTATGTATTTCTGCAACAGCCAAACACTTCATTAGCAGGCCCAACGGGGCGGCAGTGGCCGGCAACAAGTAGCGAAAAAAAAAGTTTGAGTTTTTGGCAAACGCATGCGGCAGGACTTGGAGGCAGGGGCAACCCTAATAGACGGCAACCCTGTGGATTCACATGCAGCGCATTAACACCTGAAAGCTTTAGCTTTGCCAAAAAAAAAAAAAACAGAAAAAAAGAAAAGGGGCCGTAACGTAGGCTGGGCGCTGTGGTATCAAAATGCCTGGGAAGTGGCAGCCCAGGGGCAGGCTCAGCCGAACCCAGCCCAGCCCAGCCCAGCGCAGCCCTAGGTAAGACAAGGTGTCCAGCTTAAAATGTCTTGGCGGACAAAAAAGTAGCATAAAACCGGATTCAGTGCTAGTGCAGCAGCTGCTACTGCTGCTGCTGGACGCATCCGAGACGCGACCGTTAGATCATAATTGATATTTGTGGCAGGGCCCAGAAGGAGACTCGAGCACGTAGACAATGGCCCAAGCAGCTCGGACAGCGTCCCTTTGCTTCCTGACAAAGCGCTAATTTGCATAATGCTTTCAGCTCTGGCCTTTAAGCAAGCCGAGAAAAAAAACGAAATGAAGAAAAAGGATTCATCATTTCGGGCTGGCCGGGATTCACATGGGCCGTCTTCAGCATTTGATACGGTCGAATGACGTTAAGCAGGAGAGAATGGGCTCTGCTACGGCTAGAGGCCACACAATTATTGTTGTTTTGTCATTGTTTCTCAACGTTGGACATCGCACCTCTTTCTTGTACGATCGCTCAGCGTCTCAGCAGCTCAGCGTCGTGGTGTGTCCGGCGCTGAGGACACTCGGCTAGGGCAACAACCCCTTCTGGGCAGCGGAGACAACGCATCTGATTTGCATAAATATATCAATCCTGGACCAGGTAAACTTTTCCATTTACTTCAATTTGGTGTTGTTTGTTAATGCATGTTCATTCCGTTTCATTTCAACCCCCCGCCTGGTCCTTGATAAGAACAACAAATCCTTTGGGTTCTATGTCCACCCCGATTGTCCCCTGTTCGCTGCGCATTTCTGTACAGCCAAACGGATAACCGTGGCGATCCCCGAGGTCCATTAATGCCCGAGCGCGCATCCTTTTGCGCCTGACCATGGCCATGGGTTGAGTGTGAGAAATTTGTATTGCGTCTGCGCTGCGTCTGATTCGATTTGATTCAAAGCGATGCCCAGCTGTTCCAATTGGGAAAACTCAGCGACGCCGAAGCATTTGTAGCATTTACATGCTCATCTTTTATGCAAATGGAGAGCGAGAGCGCGGCAGACTCTATCTCCCTCTCCCTCTCTCCATCTCTTTCTATAAAATGTCGATGGGTCGAGCGTGGCTAAAGCGAAGCCGCCAGCGTTTATTTTATTTTTGAATTTTGTTTCTTTCATTTTTGGTTTTTTCGGGCGTGGGGGCTATAAATTTCTTATTCGTATCGCATTAATTACTACAATATTATCAACAGCTACAGCAAAGACATAAAAACCAAAAACGAAACAACAAAAACAATAACAGCAGCCACAGCCGCCGCCGTCGTCGCCGCTGCCACAGCGCAGCAGCAGCGAACGCATAACGCAGCGGCCATATTGAAAAAGATGCAAAGCATACGAGCGAGATAGTGAGAGGGAGCGGGAGAGAGCGAGCGCCTGCGCGACATTCGAAATGAATGAACGAACGCATTAAAAGCTTTTTAGCTTAAGAGCTTTTCATACAGCAAATGTTACAGCACATTACAAAGTTGCACAAATACACACACACACACGCTGACATTATAACAGTGTTGGAGGGGGTGGCTGGTTGGACTCCCGCACTTGAACGCCGTCAGCTGTTGTCGCTGCTGCTGCTGCTGCTGCTGCAACTACCGTGACTCGGCTATCCAGTCTGTATAGGATATCGCATAGCTGCTGCTGGCATCCTGCATCATGTGCAGCCGTTAAACGAATACCGTTAACAATCGCACAAGTGCTCCGAACTGTTCGAAAAAGGCGCGCGCGCGTGCCTGCGCATGCAGCTGTTATACGTAGCTCTGCTGCTGCTGCTGCTTCTGCTTCTGCGACTGCGTCCACAGCTCATGTCGACCGTTTGGCAATGTAATTGAAACTACAATTGAAGCACATTGTTGTTGTTGGTATTACTGTTCTTGAAGTGAGCTTTTTTTGCGTTTTTCTCTTCCTTTTTTGCTGCGTTTTTTTTTGTTTTTATATTTCTTTATCTTTGCGCGCCGCGGCGTTTGCTACGTTGCGAGTTAAGCTCGGGCACTGATACGCATTCGCACAGTTATATTCGGCCAAAAAGAATATACATACATATATAACACTCATGTATGTACATATATAAATATAACAACAACAATTTGTATATACTACATATATAAACTTGATGCTGTTGTCGACCTTGTGGCTTTTCGATATCAACTGAAAACCACTTTGAGCGTTCGATAAACTTGTAGCGCCAATTCACAGAGTACATGTGGAGATCTAGAGATGTGGAGAAGTGTAGAGGTGCTAGAAGTGGTGGAGAAGTGGAGTATACCAGCAGCAGCAACAGCAGCAGCAGCAGCAGAGACAACAACAACAACAACTGACGACAAACGACAGTCGAAAGCGTACGACGTTGAATTGTGTTAACATGTTTCTTCTTGTCTCGCTCGACATCATTGTTGTTGTTGCTGCTGCTGCGATTGCTGCGCTGCGACTGCTGCTCTGCTGCAGGTAGACTGCGCAGGTGAACAGGTTTGTTTTTGTATCAAAATGTCCAAACGCTGTTGCACCTTTAATATTAATAATAATAATAATAAAATATCGAGACGAGAAAAAAAAAGCAAAATCAAAAACAAAAACAAAGACAACAGACACAAGCGACAGCGACAAGGGCTACACACCGAAGCTCTGTTGCCCTTACAGTCCAGCGTTCAGCGGCTCAGCTTAATTGAAAGCTTTCAATTTATTGTATTACAAAGCTCAAAAGCTTGATCATTAATATGTTTGCTATTATTTTCTCAATATT